TACCAAAAATATTTTATAATATCAAAATAAATATTTGATAAATGTTTGACACACTTTTTGTAACTGACTCAATAAAACTATTTTGAACAGTTAAAAAGATTTTTCAACTGACTCCAAAAATAAATATAATTTTTATTTTGACTCTCATAAAAATAATTTTGGAGAGAAGATATTTTTGTCATCCTTACAATAATTCCTAAGACTCAAATAAATAAAAAGTCTTCGGAAATCTTCTACACCTCCGAGTCCTCCGTTAGGCGCTTCGAACGCGTCTCGGACTCCGATAAAATCATGTGCACCTTCTTGAGTACTTCAAGGAATGACACTTCAAGTCTTCGTGTTTGTCGTTGTAGCACTTTGATCTTGACTTGAATAGATTGTGTTTGTCAATTATCAAAACCTGTGAGTCAACACTTAACAACACAGAAAGGATTGAACTCATGCATTCCAACAATAACTTTTCGAAGCATCGTTGCTTTATCGAACTGACATCGCTCTCGTTACGATAATTATTCGCGCAAATCTTAATCATCTAACACTGAGCTCCTCGGTAAAAATAATAATTTTTTGAGCACGGCATAGGCCGGTCAAAACAAAATGTTGTACAAATTATTTTTTGGAGGAAAAAACTTCTGATTCAAGAAATTAGAGAATTAATGAAGACTCGGAGGACTAGCAATAATATCTACCGATCAAAAATTCAAAGTACGAAGACTGAAGATCACACTCGGAGGACTTGTTTACTTTTTTAAGTTGATGATTCTCACAACTCAAAAAAGTGGAGGACTTTTTGATGGGAAATAATACGTGGCTCGGCCCACATTTCCCAATTATTTACGAAGAACAGTTAAATCGGGCCTGTTTAATAAAATAGAGGAATAAGAGAATATTCCTCCGTAGATGCTCTCACCCTCTCCTATAAAAGGGAGGGTTGCCCTAATTGTTGAGGGGGGCAATTCGCACTCTTCACTCCTTCCCTGCCCATTTACTCTCTCTCTCTCTAGAAAGCTTGTGTATATTTTCTTCTTCAAGAGCTCAAATGCTCCATTAATGGCTTCTAGCCTAAACCATGTACCGTGTACACACCCCCGATATTAATAAAAATTCCCCGTTGGCAAGGTACCGCCAAAAAAGGCCCGTGGTTTTCTCCCGATTTGGGTTTCCACGTAAAAATCCCCGTGTTTATATTTTGGTGTATTTTTTAGACTAGTTAATCGTTTTAGCCGGGCTAAAAAAGATATACCGGTCGATAATTTACACCATCATAAGTAGTAAAGAAATACTTAATTTGCGCATATCTAGGTCCATGGTAGACTTTAGATCCACCATTAACCTACATATAAGGCAATAAGCAAATCTTAATTACCTAGATGAGCATTTATTTGAATAGAAAATAAAAAATAAAAAAATATTTTTTATGTGAGAAGTGCAAAAATGATATGCATAGAAAGTGCACAATAGAAGCATTCATAAAATTAATAATTTGATCGGTGGGGTTCTAGTGCCACTAGAGTACGGTGCCACTCCGGTGCCACTGGCATTTTGGGGCACCTCCGGTGCTCCGTTCGCAAAATTGACGGTTCCTACCCCCTAACCCGCCTCCTAAACCCCCCACCCTACCCCCGCCCCTGCACCCCAACCCCGCCGTAAGCCCCCCACAAAATGTGTGGCTATTATGCGTTCATAATAGGCTTAATAGCCACACATTTTGTGGGGGGCTTACGGCGGGGTTGGGGTGGGGGTGCAGGGGCGGGGGTAGGGTGGGGGGTTTAGGTGGTGGGTTAGGGGGGGTAGGAACCGTCAATTTTGCGAACGGAGCACCGGAGGTGCCCCAAAATGCCAGTGGCACCGGAGTAGCACCGTACTCCAGTGGCACTAGAAGCCCACCGTAATTTGATTTGAACTTTTTTAAAAGTTGCCCCTAATAATTTCTTTATTTTCAAAGTCACTTGCTACACGGCAAGAATTAAATGAAATCCTTTAATCTCGATGCTACTAATAAATGAGAGGCGTATTTCCAATGTTGAATTACATCCATTGATTCATAAAAAAATCTGATCTGCGGTTGATATTCTTGAGGGTTTGAGCGGGAAACCTTTAGGTGAGATTTGGTCTCTTTTTAAATATAGTATAGATTTGGCACTTCCGATTATTTTTTTTGTGCTGAAATTGATTGCGGCAAATAAGCTACTGGTCTCTCACATGGGGGCACCACAGAACAAATTGCAGATATTCTAACCAAGCCTCTTGTTGTGCCTTGTTCACAAACTTTCGATCCAATATTGGAGTCTCCGACGGATCCTCCATCTTGCCGGGGGCGTGTTAAGGATAAATAAGTATTATATATTCCCTTCGTCCAGCATTGGTCTTGTCATTACACGTTACGAGGCTTGACCGACTTTATTTTCAATTCAATTTAATTGATTATAAGGGTAAAATTTAAAAATAAAATATATATAGTAAAAAACTATATATAAAGTTCACAAAACTACAAGCGACAAGACTATATTATTTTATGAAATAAGTAGTAAAATAAGAAAACAAAGTGAGTTAAGTTTGATCCCGTGAACAGCGTCTAAGAAGATCTTTGGTGGACGGAAGGATATTATTTAGTTATTATATAGATTAATAATCAATTATTATAATCGTTAATCACTCTATAATAATCTTCATATTTACCTTGTATAGATTATTTCTATTTGTGTAACCTCCCTACTCTTAAGGCATATAGTTAGGTGTGTGATTAGCATAGAATTAGGCGGTTGATTAATTTACTGTGATATGTTTGGGAACATGGATTTGGATTTAAAATATGGATTTGGCTCAAATTCCATGTTTGGGAAACCTAAAAATTTTGAATTTGGATTTGAGTCAAATTTTTCTCATTCATGACAAAGCTTAATTTGAAATTCATGCACCCCTCCTAGTCATTTGAAATTTAAGATTTCAAATTTTGGAATTGAAATGCATGAATTGAAATGAAATGCTAGTTGCCAAACACTACCTAATTGTATTCTACTATATATGTATCAGCTGTGAATGAATGAATAATAATGGGAGAATTATCACTCTATAAAGCATACAGTCTCTTGCAAGATTTGAAATTAACCACGAGAACTTTAGAAGCAAATTTTAATTTAAAAAAAAACAAATGAGAAGAGATATTGGAGTTGATTTTCCAAATCACAAGGGGCACTTAAGTTATATATTTGGCGTATAAAATTTTGTTGCAAGAGTATTTATTTTGTCAACGTATTGGTTCTTTAAATTTAGCCCTCTCGCTGATTTGTTCCAAAGACAGTGATCAGATTCTGCAGCCTCGCGACGAACTCATCAATGAGCAGTGAAGTAGACGTTTGATCGAGAGCGGAAACGCGTTTGCTCTTTCATATATACATTTTGACTTGGCACAATCGTCCCCCCCCAAGACAGCTCTATAACCACTATACACACAGGATCATCAGACGCCTAAGAAGAATTTTGGAAGGTATCCTCTCGTATTCGATGCATTGTTTATAGCCAGCCACTCACACAACCTAGCTATGACACACAACCATGCACCTGTCGGATAAGTATAATAATAAAAAAACCAATCGCCTTCAAGAGAAGTGGCAACGCCTCTATGGAAATATTCAAGGAGGGAACAACCTGTGGGATTACAACAACAACTTCTTGCCATCGCCCAGCCAACCGAGATAGTTCAGCTCTGCCCAAAGATAACCCTCCAGCAGAGAACGTCCCAGGAGCTCTCTATTGAACCCTTTATTAAGGGTGGCCCCTGTGCTGAATATAATTCAAAGCCCTAGACAAATCGAGTTTTTGCCAATGTAAGTAAGGGGCTCCTTGAAGAAAATGAGAACAGCCACAATGGAGAGAGCCATCCCCATTTTAGCCGCAAACACGACTTTGCGTGGATCTTTGCGGCCCTTCTCGTAGTAGGATTTGGTCCAAACAGCCTTAACATTCTCAAAGAATCTGTCAAGAAGTGGAATTCACGTCATTGTCTGCTGACGGATGGCGGGTGCCAAAACACAATAATGCAGAAGAAACATACACTTTTCTGCATGTCAATCTCTCCCCTACTGTTTCAAGAAAGCTTTGCTTAAGGGATCCAATTTGAGCGCTGCTTGCTGACATTTGGTTCTCGGTTGGGCTTATCTGAGACCTGAAATTCTCATCAAGGAAAGAAAAGAAACTCGGGAAGTAAAAGATCTTAATTTCGATCGAGATTCACATTATTAAATGCATTTAGGTGGTCTTAATTACTCCCCCTTCCTAAACTTATGTTTCAATGTTGACTTGATAGTTGATACACTTATTTCGAAAAATGGAAATGTGTCGAAAAAGATGTCTTATGCGATTATAAGAAAAAGTTGAAAAATTGTACTCCGTTCATTATGCCTTGCGGGACTTGATCAACTTTAATTGTAATTCAAAATGAAAAAACATTGACTCTCCATGAGAAATTTTCCGAACCGAAGAAGTATATGACATGCACCGTGCTATAACGTTAACATTGCGTCAATGAGCCAAGAGTTCATATACCGTAGATCCAAATGTATGATGTTTCTCATACATCCAAAATATCATGTGATGAATACTAACACAATATTCAATTCACATGTTAACCTATTTTACTCAAAACCTCCATATTATAAAATACTACGTACATTACTCCATATGCGTAATGTATTTCCGTTTTGGTTTACGATCTTTGATTGAAAATATTTTTAAATCATTTTCTATGAAAAATAGTATAGAATTAAAAAATAAAAATTACACATTTAAAAAGTAGATCAAAAGATTTACAAAACAAGTGGTGACATGACTACATTATTTTATCAAATGATTAACAAAAATAAAAAAAAAGTAATATAAAAATTGACTTTATGAATAGTAAACAAACAATTTAATTTGAACAGATGGAGCACACAATGTTAATCACATTTATACAGAACATTCATTTACAACCAATACAAATGAGTGCGAATTAAACTTGATTTGGAGATTACACATTGACAACTATGTTATTTTTTGTAAATACTAAGTTTGCCTCCTAGTCATTCGACTAATTTGATTTTTTTGAATCAAGCTGAACAAACGTTAAACCTCAATTAAATAAAAACTACTACCTCCATCCTTGACTTGGTCAATTGTTTTCAAAGTTTAACCTATAATTAACTTATATATATATATATATATATATATATATATATATATATATATATATATATATATATATATATATATTACATATTAATATAATAAACTAATATTTTGAAAATATTTGATATGATAAATCTAATAAAATTATTTTTGTATCAATATCTAATACTCCGTATTATTTGTATTTAATTTAAAGCCAAAATTTACCAATTTTAATCAAAAAATCAAAAATTAAAAAATACTCATGGACAAAGAAAGTATAATATACATTAGTATAAAAACAAATTCATTAGATTTTTCTTGCTGAAAACTTTCAAAATCTAATTACATTCATTAAAATACCATACAAATTGGGAGAAATTGATGATATAGACATAAAATAATCAATATTAATATGCTACTACATTATTAATAATACTGGAGTACTAGATAACTCATCTCTTTCGGTCAACCTTCTTCACGGAGTTCAAAATAAATATAAATATAGTAGTACAAAACAGCATGTAATGAAAAGGGAAAAAACACGGGCGACAATATCCCCCAAGCTCCCAGTAAAATCAGGTGTGGGCAAACACACTATCTATCAAGTTTTATAAAAACAAAAAACTAACAGTACCATAAGTTTAGAAAGCACTAAACTATCAGAAGAGTTAGATCAGTTAGTTTTCTTCTCATCTTCATTCTGCGTCCTGGCGACGGTGCTGCTACTAGCTGCACTATCGGCTTCTTCGCCCCCAAACCCAAATTCATTGACACGTTTCCTATCAACTGGATAAACCCATCTTTGGTACAGGTATATGAGAAATATTAAATCTGCAGAGAACAGAACAGGTAATGTCAACATCATCAGATGTATAAATATGTTGTAGTATAAATAGTATGTAGTACTCCATTCGTTTGAAAATGAAGTTTATGTATTCCTTTTTTGGAATGAAGTTTATAAACTATCTGTGCTTGGAATTGTGAAGTAGCAGTTGGTCAATGCAACTTTTGACGCTCATCATGGTCATCTGGAAACAGCCGCTCTATGTTTTAAACATAGGGGGTTTTAAACATAGGGGTCAGACTGCGTACATCCCCCTACCCCCCTACCCTGCAATGGGTGGGAGCCATTGACGCACTAGGGTAATGTTGTTGTTGCTGGAATGTCCCAAAGAAATAGATATGGCTCATATGATTTTCCTTCTAAACAAATTTGAACCTCACTCTTTATTTTTCAACACATTTCTTAAACTTCATGAAGTCAAACCATAACCTTCATTTTCATACGAAGGGACAAAATCGGTATTAAATAGCACACTCACCTCAAGATCACCACTCAACATTATTGTTGTATTTATGATTTAACACTACTTTCATTAAACTAATAACCAAATCTATGTCCAATACTCCAATATCCAATTATATTCATTACCGCTTATTAACTTTAAAATCTTTGCTATGCATACAGTGCCATACTTGCTCCATGCCAAATGAACCACAAAGCAATGCATAAGATAGTAAAGCTTACCATCTCGAAAGACTGAGAGGCGATGCAATGTAGGCATCTTAATGACAAAGGCAAAGAGATCGTCAATAATTGTATTCAGGAACTTGTATGTCATTTGCCTCCAAGGCAGATGTGCAACCGACTTCAGTTTATAGTTGATGAATAACTGAGGACACATCATGATGAAACCTGTGAAATTTGTCAGAGAAGAAAAGGACTTACTGATTGAGGATGATTCGCTATCAAATATCAATAGTCGCTAATTGCTATACCAACAAAAATACAATCAACTTCAGACTAAGTGGTTAGAGACTTGGAGCCTTTGAGGGGGCAGTACAAGTGGGTACATACAATTGAAATATGCACTCCGAAGTCGGAACATATTTCATATTTGTTGCTAGCAACATAATTCATGTTCACTATGAGGGAAGAGTATTATGGCAAGCTAGTGGAAAAGAAAAAATTAAGAGAGAAAAAAAGGCATACTTACCAAACATATAAACACAACTCGTGAGGGAAGAGAGAATCCAAGAGTACCAACTCTTGTGCTGCTCATACATTAAAGAGTATATCGAAAAGCATCCAGCCAAGAAGAAGAGTATATATGTCAAATACTTCATGGCAAGATCATCGTATTCTTTTGTCTTATTTCCAGCATATGATTCGCGATCGCGGAATCTCAGCATAGGTATCTTGCCAGATCTGTCTATCTGCAACAAACATCAGGGAAGAGGCAAATAACCTTCTCATCTATCTATGAAAATGAAAGCAAACATAACCTTTGAATGTGGAAAACTGACGCACGGAAACACTTCCCAACATTTCAGAAATCTTTTAACCCAAAAGTAAAAACAATATCCAAGTATTCAACTAAACGTCCTGTAACCATTGGCAATTGCAATATCAGAAGCTTTTAGATATCCAGTAACCATGACAAAAAAAGTTGGCTTAACTAGATTGCAACGCACTGCAAACTGGTATAGAGCAGTTTCAATATTTCAGCAAATAATTATTTTATACAGGCGTAGACTTGACTTAAATCATCCATCCTTGTACAAACAGCACAGATTTATAGGCATTGATTAAGTTGGATTGGAATGCCTAATGGTTTTATAGACTAATCAAAAGTCAAACGCAACGCACGTATACACAATTAAACAAAAGAAACCCATTGCACTCACTTATACCAATAACCACTCAGACAAGCTCAAACTTGCATATTCGACCATTAGTAATACTTAGAGTGTTTTACAGACTAACCAAACGTCAAAACTAACACACTTATACACAATTAAGCAAGAAAAAACTCATTATACTCAGGTATACCAACAACCAACTAAACTAGCCCAAACTTGCATATTGGCCATTTTGTCAAATGTCACTCATCAAATAGAAACCATACCATTGTGCATGGTCAACAACAAATGCCAGAACTTGCATATATCACCCATGAAGTCTCATTTTCAAGTAAATATAGGAAGACAGTTAATAAGCAATGCATACCTCTATGTGCATAGCCTTTCCTATTTTCCAGAACTCAATACAACAGCCAATACCAGAACTTGCAAGTATCATCCATGAAGTTTCATTGTCAAGTAAATAAAGAAACACGATAAGCTGGGAGATAAAGTTCACAACAACTGATTTTGCGGATAGACCTTCCATGGACTTGTTTTTGTTCCAGAATTGAATATCTGAAAAGTATCAATTATTTGAAATCATAATTTGTCACGAAAACTTGCATTTATACTATTATGAATATGGAAGGAAAACCAAGACAGATGTTCCTAACCATTCTTGAATGCCAAGAAGTCAAACACAGAATGCAGAAGAGATACAACCATGGTAACCCCAAGAAGGTATGGGTTTCCTTCCAAAAAGACCCTCTGAAAAAAAAGCATGAATAATACAGTTCAAAAACAGAAGGTCAGATAAGACATAAGAGTGATGTCAAAAAAGGAATCTGATGATTTAATATAAGTTAGCTGGTTTCTGAACCAAATTGCAATAACTTAATAATCGCTAAATCATAACCTTCAGTTCATCAGACTCGCCTTCAAGCATGCTTCCATAACTCCTATGAATCTGAAAAGATTGATCTATCTGCAGGAATAGTTGCCATTTTGTCATGCTTATGGGACTAAGCTCAAGATGCAGTGGCAACTTTGTTATTGTGTCATTGATGGGTATTAACTTGTCTCTTAGTAACCAAAACTCATTGAAGAACACAGTTGGGTAGTAGTATCCAGTAGTGGGTGCAATGTTCAAGTCTGAAAATGGTGTAAAGGACTTGCCCTTGCTGAGTAACGAACACATCAAACAAAATAAATTTGCATGGAAATGGAAAAATAATCAAGGATACAAGGAGCAATATTTGCTGGAACTGCATTTTGAGTGTATCTGAAAAAAGAAATCAACCGTTAATATACTTCAATACATTATCACAGAAACAACTTATAAAAGAAATTGTATGAAATCGTCACAGCATAACCAAACAGAAGGCCTGCTTCACGAGCTGATAGAGTGATCACAACAGAGAGAAGGACGGGTATGCCTTGCATACCCTGGAGCTAGATATTAACCAAAAACTGAACTCTGAGCCCACACAAATGTGTGGACATTGAACATAGTTTGCTAACACTTCACAAATATTTTGGGTTCGCATTTTAACATAGCTCTATTGAACATGCACGTATACATCTGATTGTAACTTACATGGCTTTACCAAACAGAATAAGAGGTGAAGAACAAAAAGAATCATCAAAACCAAATACATAACGACAAAGATGTGCCACTAAAGCTGAATGTCAAGTTTTATAGAGCAGTGTTTCGTCCAACTATGTTGTATGAGATGGAGTATTGGGCGGTCAAACTGCGAAGGAAATAGTTCGGAATGACCTTACCCAGGAGAATATGGAAGTGACTCTCGTGGAGAAAAAGATAAGTGAAGCTAGATTGAGATGGTTTGGTGCAGAGGAGGATCCCAGATGCTTCTATGAAGAGTTGCAAGAGGTGGGTCATAGGGGATCAAACGAGGGGCATTGGTAGACCAAAGAAGATTTGGGGTGAAGTGCTTCAACAGGATTTGAGGTGTCCACAGCTTACTGAGGCCTTTGAAGATTGAAGACTAGAGCGGTAAGATTGACTTAGAAGTGATTAGATGTCTGTTTAGGGCTTTCAGGGTTATTCAAGTCTTATGGGTTGCTTGCTTTGTGGCTTTTCTTTTTTTATTCTCCCTAGCCTAACTTTGTCGTATCCCCTTCCCATATATATTCTCCTTCTCTTTTCTTTGTTGGACTTCACTCATCAGTTTTTATGTTTTGTTTTCTTCATCGAGTCAGGTGTCTTTCGGAAACAACCTCTTTACCATACATCACCCCCTCAAACCCCACTTTTGGGATTTTATTGGGTCATTGTTGTTGTAAAATGAAGTGCACACAAACCATAGTTCAAGAGTTCACCAAATTTTAAAGGTGTCGAGTTTGGGTGCCTAAATTCAAAAAGTGGGCATGGAAATATTGGGTAATAGGAAATGCATTATATTAGACTACCTCGGCCCCATTTGATGGTTCACAATACGGTTTAGGATGCTTGACTAAAAAGGTTTCCTTTCAATATATTTAATAAATGGGATAAAACTAAAAAAATTATATATTTAAAAACTATATAAAAAGATCTACAAAAAAAGAGGTGATATGACTATATTATTTTAACCAATGATGTATGAAAATATGTAAAGAGGAAATAATTTGACTACGTATAGTAACTGTGAAGAATCAATGGGATAGGGGTATGAGTATTTGGGTTATACAGAGTATTAAATACTTAAAATCAAATATGCACGAAAGCACTTGGTGCTAGTTTTTATGGGTGAATGCCAGAGATCACTCATAAAACCATTCAGTGGCAAGGACTAGTCAGTAGTCACTGAAATGGTAAGCCATACGTTCAAAGTTTGACTTCAATACTAAAAACCTTGCCAAAAAGTAACTAATCTGGACTATGTTACTAACTATCTAATTGTGTCATTGTGTGTGTGTGCACAAAGGCAAGTGCAGTGTCATGTAACACTAACTACACAGCAAGTTGGAGTATAACTTCCTCACTAAATTCAAGTACTCATTGCATATGATGGATAAATTTAGCAAAGAGCATAAAACTGTAAAACCATTCTACAACTTCGCAAAGCCCACTTCATTGGATTAATAAAGCACATAGTACTCAACACTAAGAACACCTTGGTTCCCATGACATTTTTGACTCCAAAGTCAAAATCGACTTGTGGGGTGCAATTGAAGGGGGTGGGGGGGTGTGTTCGGGTCGGGACGGGGTGGGGGGGTTTTCCGGGGGGGTAGGAACCGTCAATTTTACGAACGGGGCACCGGAGCGCCCCCGGGTCATCCCATGACATTGGTTCCCAATGTCATGGGAACCTTCCCCCACTAAGAATGCCACAAGATCATTTAACCAAGAGATGACATGCCACATTGAAACAAAAATTCATACAACTAAAGTACTAAACCATATCAAAATAATATAGAGTTTGTACTTTTCAACTTATTTACAGTTCAGTCTAACACTTTTTGCTTCAAATTACAACTAGCTTCAGCTTCGTTCAGTTCACTTAAGGTAGACTATGTTAGGTGAATTTTCAGTCAAAAAGAAAACGGCTCATGGTCATCAACCTTCATAAGAAAAAATACCTAGTGAAATCATCAACCAAATTGATAGTAAGATTGGGTTTCCAATATGAAACCCATTCAATTGAGACATCCTCTTTAGAATCAGCAAGTTCTTCAGACACCTGAAGAAAACAGTGCAACTTTTCAGTGATAATGATAGGATATTTTTGTGGAAATTCTTCATGATGTTATTTGGTACAAGGCTGATGGACATTTTGAGTTGTGGGAAAAACATGTGAAACTATAACTATAACCATAGTTAAAAAGGTGTCGCCTAAGCGTCGCTTAGGCGATAAGGTGCTATGAGATGGACACCTCGCCTGAAAGCAGTCAAAGCATCTAAAGCAAGGAGGCGCTTGCCTAAGTCACCTCTTGCCTAGGCAGACGCCAAATCGCCTAGGCCACTAGAAGGTACTCTAGCGCCTGGCCTTGCCTAGTAACAATTATGACTATAAGTCTATAACAAAGGCTCATTTTTATCTTTTGGATGGTTGACTTCAACAACAACAAAAACTCAGTAGAACCCCACGGAGGTAGGTGTGGGTACACAGACTTTACCCCTACTTGGAAAAAGATGTACTCAGTTTGACGAGGAGTTTGACTAGACACTGTTTTTAGTAGAGTGAAAACTCCTAGATATGGAAACATGCACATCCTTGGGGACGGACAATAAAGGAAAACAGGCAAGTCTCTTTGCAACAAAGGTAGTATTCATTATAGTAATATGTAGATTGCATGAATAGATAAGACTTAGATACCAATGCCCAAAGACAAATTGTCCACATAAAACAAGAAACCAAGTGTAGAAGGCCAAACATATTGACAGAACTATTTTTGGAAACAAAATGAGAACATTGAAAATATACCTTGGGTATAACTAACTCATCCTTAGAGTCTTCAGAGTTGCTTAACAGGCTCTTCTTCTTGTCAGATTTTGACTTTGGAAAATATGTGACGACAGCTGATTGGATTATTTAATATAAAAAGATGTCAGACAATTTGCACTTTACCCAAAGCACTATATTTTTTCATGCGGTAGTGGGTGAGTATCAATAAGACATGTTGCTAGATGACAGGGTTTTACAATGTGTCCTTCCAAATGCTGCCAATGGTTGGTACTCTGGATCACTGGGATCCACGGGATTCCCAGAGCGAGCAAAAAATACATGAGCATAAAGACTCTCATTGTGTTTCAATGCCTGAAAGTATATCAATGGGTAAAATCAATCAAGAATATCCAAAGCAACCAAGAAGAGAAACAGACAAGAAAGAGAAAGTAAAGAGCATTTTACAGGCCATCGATACATAGTATGTTGAATCAAATTTTCACTCAACACAATGATAATGGTCTTGAAGAGTTGCATTCGCCAATATATGGTACCTCAGTTGGAACATACTCCAAAGAAAGAGACCTCAAACTTTCAGGTCCCCAAACAGCATAAGGTATATTCGTCTCATGCCAAATGAGTGCTGTTTCATTGCCAAAGTCATTGAACTTTTCTTGCTCTGAGATGTATAACCACATGTCCTGTTAAAGAACATTGAAGACAAATTGTTACACCAATTCCAATGTCAAGGAGAGTTGTGGTGTAAGAATGAAGAAAATATACTAGTTCTCTAAATGTCATTGAACTTTTTTCATTTGGAGATAAACAAATTGTCCTGATATACAATAGGGAAAAAACAATGTTACCACAATTTCAAACTCAATGACAAGCCTGGTACTAGCAAGACAGAAGTTTAAAACACAATAAAGTATTTAGTTTCTCTGAAAAATATACAAAAACTAGCAGTTCGCCACTCTCATCCAGAAAAGGTGAAAAGGAATCCTGAGTAATCCATAACTCCAAATTAGCTTCCCACTTTCTTTTTCTATGTCTCAAAATTATGTTATCACTTCCTTTTAAGAAAAAGATTGTATGGTTGATAATTTCACATTCATTTCAAAATAAATCTAAGCTACATAATATCATTTTATCAATATACAAGCCAAACAATAAGCTAATATACATGAGGGATTTTTTTTCCTTTACTTTTCCTTAGTGGAGTTGTCTATTGAGGGAATTGAAAGGATAACAGCTTCATTGATTTGACTGTTTGGTTCAGGTTTAAAAAGAAAATACAAACCCAATGTTTTGTTTTCCCCTTCTCTTTGAGTTATACTCCATCTATCCCAGAAACAACCTCTTACTATTCAAGTGTCAGAATAATTTTTTTTACTTACGGAGTAGTATTTTCATTGTTCATTTGATAAAATAACATATTCATGTCACCTCTCTTTTTTGTAGAATTATGGATGTAGTTTCTAAAAAAAGCTTGTTTTTAATTTTTTACCAATTTTCAAATAAAATGAATTAAAAAGAAATTCATTTACCTTGTAAACCACAATGTGTATTTCTTTTAGAGACGTAGGGCGTACAAAAATAACAAAATATAATTTATTCTGAAGTCAGCTTCAAGGACATACTATTATTCGATTTTGCATATGCACAATGTCACTGTACACTGAATAAAATGATTGTCATAAAACTGGAAAAATTTGTGAATTGTTCACCATTTTTTTAAAAGTAAACCCCATCATTCAAGAGAAGTAGTGCAAACCCGGCATGTAAAAGTCAGGAATATAGATAATCTTTATTTAGGCCCCGTTTGGTACACGGAATTCAAACTATGGAATTGGAATTGAAGACTTCAATTCCAATTCTGGTGTTTGGCAGCACAAAAATTATGTGGATTTGGAATTGATAGTACAAAAAATGAATTAGAATTTGCAGAATTCAATTCTATGGAATTGAATCCCATAAAATTTCAATTCCAATTCCATCAATTCTGTATACCAAACGGACCCTTACAGTTACAATTTCTCATTTCCTTTTTATTGAAAAATCTATTCACACACTTCCTAGGGCTATATCTCCATTTTCCACATAGATGATGCAAAACAGGTATATTTCAAAGTTGTGAAGTCCAGGATAGAGACAAAATGCTAGACAGGTAGAAAGATGATAAATTATCTCTAAATTTCTCAAAAACTAAGAACACCATCCACCATGTTTTTGATGAATTATCATGTCTGGAGCATATTTACACTGGCAAATTATAATTGGATCCTGGCAGCTCTTATCCAGCCAAGTTCCTATGATGGAAGGAAGGACCTTCTTCCCCAAACGTCACAAGACCAAAGCCCCAAAACATAAAATTTACATCCTAAGAACAAAACTACATGTTGTATCATTTCAATTATTTTAAATCTAATCTCCCAAAAATCATATTAAATAGATAAATTTGTTGTTTAGGAAACGCAATTAGAAAGCCAAGTAAACATCTATAAGCACTGAAGCACGTGGAAGGAGATAAGTTCCCAGGATTTCACTATACCACTCATTCACAGTAATTGATCACATCTATGAATATTATATCCACCAAAACTGAAGCAATATAATCACAAGAAATTCAAAAGCCAATTAGAGGCACATCTAGGGAAAGAAACAGCGACGGTACTGAGTACCGACCAAGGGCTCGCCCTTGTGGAAGAGATTGGTGATCTGGGCAGAAGGATCGGAAGGGGCGCGTTTAGGGCTAAAGAACTTTGATGCGAAGTACCAGAAAATCGCCATTCTAATTATTCCAGTCAACATCTGCCCCATGCCCGCCTGCTGCCGCCTTCCTCCCCCTCCCTCACCTCCCGTTTCAGCAACCGTCGGCTCCATCCTCTCGCTTACTAACTCCCTAGCTCCGACCACCACTGCAGCCTAAAGCCGAAAAAGTTGAGAATGAATAGATGATGATGAACGCGAGTCCAGGGTACATACGCGGAGTAATAGGACCCCTACGTAAAGTACTCCTGCTACTTGTACAGTTGTACTCGCATTGGGCACAATAGCGGTGGACTCGCAACTTTTATCAAATTGGACACCTATTGGCGATTGCTCCATTCTTATTCTTCTACATCCCAAAATATCGCCGAACGAGTACTATTTTACTAGTAATTTAATATTCATTGTCGATAAATTAAATATACATTATCAAATAATTAATCCTCGTTTTTTCTGAAATTTAGTTATTTTCAAAAACAATTATTCAGTTATTTAAACATGAGTATTCAGTTATTCAAAAATGAGTATTCTATTATTCAAAAATGAGTATTTAGTTACTCGAAAATAGATATTAATGCGGATGTACGGAAAACACTATTCATCCGAATATATGGTACAGGTACTCCTAAATTTATTGCAAAAAACCTCCCCAATCATGCTAGGGTATTGAAATTTTGATCTCAATTGCTTATCATTTGTACATCAACAGGTTCTCGACCACACAATTTTTTATGTGGATATGAAGAGAGAGGGGTCAATAAGAAATGTCTGGTGAGAAGCCTGGTGGTGTATAAATCAAACACATTTATGGTGTACCCCTAGCGTTGCTCTTTTTTATGTACAATCATCATTTATGTACATTTGATAAAACAAGTGTCTCTTGTGCTAAAAACTCCTCACGAACTAAGCTTTGAACTAGGCGGCGAATTGCTCAAAACGACCAATGCTTGTTGGGTGGAATGTGGTGAACCACACTTGGGCCGATCCTCTAAGGATTCGAAAGAAAAATTTACACATGTCAGGATGAGCCAGCCTTGGTATGATTGGAGGAAGGCATGTGGGATGGTGGTTCCATCATAGACCAGAGGATGGGGCATCTTGCAATGTTTGGGGAACTTGACAATCATCACCTGCTTTGTGCAGGGGGCGACGACAAGGACATCATGCTCGCCAGGTCCCAGACGTCCTTCATTAGTTTTTCTACCTCGACATCCTGGCCTTCGATGCACGGCGACATCCTGCAATTGCAACCACTGCGAAAATAGCTCCCTCCTGTTTCAATTCGTTCCTAGATCGAAATACGGCCGATACAAGAAAAACTAAAGATCTCGAGCTAGACCTTCCCGCCCATTAGATTTCCTTGTCAAGACCCTACATATGTCGAATAGGTGAGGGCACCTTATCTCTCCAGTTTCTGCCTCCCGAGCACCCCCCTCATTGAAACTTAATCCGCGCGACAAGGTTGTAGGTCACGGTTCTTCTACAGCGCCCAGGCTTTCATTACCTGAGCCACAACCCTCAGGGCCTCGGGTGATGCCAACACATCCTCCAGGGTCAACCCCCTGAGAAGGGGGACATTCCTTCCCTAGTTCGGTGTGCCCCTTGGTGATTGTCAAGCCGTAGAGGATTATTGACCCGTGGTGGCGGTGCTCTGCCTTCTAAAAAACAATGAATGACAGATATCTAACAAAGTGGTCAGACGAAGGAGAGCCGTTGGGGAACCTTTTGCAAGATGAGTTTGGCATGGTATGGTTTGGTTTTTTTCTTTTGGATTCTTTTTGGACGGGGTCAATGACACCAATATTGGAGTTAAGACTTTGGAGATGGCCTAAAAGACCAACACTTTCCCTTGGGTCAGAGTAAGGGTGAGACTGAGAAATGAGTACATAGGGGGAAATATCATACGGGAGTTCAATCTTATGGCGTGAATGGATATGTTATTGATTATAACGTATGGGCGGCCCGAGTGCCTTAGACTCGATTACAAAATGTCTTCCTTAATACAAGTGATATTCTCTCTCTTACACACCTCTCCCATCTAATCCCATTATTCTCTTCATGCATAGAGTATTTATAGTGGAGATAGTTGTACACATGGGGGGTGATGTGGTGGATGGCCAGTGGTCCATACACTGCGACACTTTCAGCGGCAGTGTGCACGCGTGTCAGGCATCTCCTCTGCATTTAATGTCTTGTACGGATATCATTAATGATAGTTTAACTTGAAATTATTGAGCTAAGACAAAGTGATTCTTAATATTCCCTTTGGCATGTCCTTTTAAGATGGATCTACCCTCCAAGTATGACCCTCCGAGTACAGGTCGAGCCTCATCCGTTGGTGCTTCTTCCTCTGTCCAAGCTTCAACTTTTGGTTCGCTTTGGATCTCCTCTAGGTCCCTACTTTGGGCCGACCCACATGTTAGGGCCTTTTCCCCAACGGTCATAATGAAGGACTATATATTGGTATTTCACAGTATTTTTGGTATTATATGTTAGCATTATTAGCATTGTAAGTTTTATTTTAGAAAAATCATGGAACTCCTATTTTTGTACTTTCTCTATGCTTTACTTTAACTTTATTCTTTTTTCCTTTTCCACCCCTCTCAGATTTATCTGTTTCCATTGTCATTTTCCTCTTGTATTTGTCATCTTCCACCAACCATCCTCCTTCAAATCTTTTTATTCGTTCTCTTTAAGGCTTCGTTTCGAAGGTAGGAAAATAAGTTTTGGAAAAATGAGCTACTTTTCTGAAGTCATTTTCCTTTTTTTACTTTTTGGTTAAAACTCTGAAAAATATGTATTTCTATTTGGTTCATATCGTGAAGTGATTTTCCTGAAATCATTTTGTTTTCTTTTTGGTGCATTTTCCTTTTTTTTTGTAACGTAATAGAAAGTTTTTTTTGCAAAGTCACACCATGTGTGTATAGTGTATATCAGCATATCTAATTAAGGGGGACGTTAATAGTAGTGAAGATATAATTTTGGGACAGATGTAATGTATTACAAGCACATGATTAAGGCACGATTAAGAAGAAGATAATACTAAGGAATAATATAACGCCACGAAAACCGGTCTAAAAGAATTAAATACTCAAACCACCGATTTTGAACGTGTGGGCCCTAGAGGCCTGAAAAATAAAAATAATTGAAAAAACATTTTAAACATGTTATTGAATTCTATTAATTTTTGCGAATTCAAAAAAACGATCGGGTTTAGATTCAAATTTTGTTTGAAAAATAACTTGAAATTCCAAAACAAGAATTTTTTCTCCAAATCTTGAGATATCACATCCCAACCATAGAAGAATTCCTACACATTCCTTGATGCTTCCCCACATACCCCATTGTTGTGAAGATACCCAACATCTCTCATCTCCTCTTTGGGCTTTTATGAGTGGAGATGTTAGGAAAAATAATCTTGATGCATTCACCTACCATAAAAGAGTCTAATACTTCTCCATATATCCTCCTTAATCACAAAAGAAATCCTTCATGACAAGGCTTCACCTTCTCTAAATCCTCCCAACCTCCATTAATGGAATTTTGATGGAGAAAATTCAATGTAAGGTCTTGATTATTTAGTTAATTGTTTTACCGTATGCTATAAAAATAATTTACACTTTAAAGTTTGGTGATCAGAAGTTTACAAACATTTTTGCACATTTTTTTAAAAAATATAGTAAAACGAAGGATAGCCATGTTCCACTCCACGACGTCCGCTCACATCGATCGAGGAAAATTTTGGGGTAAGAATATAGTTAGTAATTTCATAACTCTTGATTTATCCTAGAATGGAGGCTTTGAACAACCAACCTCATGTGTCTGGAGATTCCGAGGCATCAAACATTGGAAACTTTGTTGGTGGAAACCCAGGAAATAATAATAACAATCTCAACGCTAATAATGAGAATATCGTCTGAAATAACATAATCAATCAAGTGGTGGGATTTCTCCACCAACTTGCTACCATACACAAGTCCGTCCAGAAGGTTAGAATATAGATCGTCTCAAGAAGAATGGTGCTTGGGTATACAAGGGAGGAGAATCGGGACCTCCAGAAGTCGTAGAGCACTGGATCGAACAAACAAAACGTGTTTTTGAAGATAACCTCATTCAAGAAGGAGAATGGGCTCGACTGGCCATATCTCTACTGCAAAATGAAGCATATGATTGGTGGAAAGTCGAAAAGACCAAAGAAGGACTGCCTGAACCCCTAACTTGGGTAGCATTTGAGAAAGCTTTTTCTGATCATTTCATACCTCCTTGGATCCTTACTATCGTGACGCAAAAAGAAAAGAATTTCAAAATCTGAAACATAAAGGGATGTTCGTGGAAGTTTACAAAAGAAAACTTTTTAAGCTATCTAATTATGCTAAGGATTTAATCACTGATGAGGAGAAACAATGTGAGTTCTTCAGCGACGGGCTAGATGAGGAATTCCAAAGGAGTCTCAACGGGACCATACATCGGGACTTCAATGAGCTGATCAAAGCAACGATGAGTATTGATTCGATCGAAAAGAAATGTTTTTGATCAAGGGGAAGCATCATCAAAGAAGAACATCTCCAATGCAAAGAATGTTGGTTGGGGAAAATATGGTCAAGCCCCCAAACAACAACAATACTACAACAATAAGCAAAAGAAGTCGGAAACTCTGGTTGAAAGGCTTGAATGCCCTTCACGTAATCATCGCCACAATGGGGAATGTTGGTTGAAAGGTCACATCTCAAAGAACTGTGTTAAACATACTGAGAAGGCAGAAGCACCACTTTAGAATAATAACAACCGCCCACCTCCAAGACAAGCTCCACCAATGCAAGGAAACAATGGCAACAAAAACAATCGAGTTCCAGCAAAACATTAGTATTAACCCCGTGCTTCGCACGAGCTTGTAAACATTCTAAAATGTAACATTCTACTTTTTATTTTCTTTACTCATTTGATAAAATAATATAGTCATGTAATCTACATTTTTTTAAACTTTTGATGCAATTTTAAATATAAAAGTTTTATTTTTAAATTTTACACATAATCAAACAAATTGAATTTAAAATAACTTCAGTCAAATCTCGTAAATTGAGAAGTCAGTTTTAGGACAAAGGGTGTATAATAAAATAAATCTAAAGTTTTAAAATGAATATCATATAGTTAATAAAGATGCTTATGCAATAGAGTCAATAGCACTAAAAAAAGATCATAAAATTACTTACGGGTGACACGAGTTTTGTCAAAATAACTCTCAGGTCCCTCGATTTTCAAGAAGAGA